TTCATTAGGGAAATTCGATCTACTCCAGCAAAAGCAGCTTTAGCTCCACCGCTAAAACTTTTCAGAAACGTTTTCAAGGTCGATCCTAGGGATAAACGTGCCTTGCATGCTGTCAACTACAGTCACATCGAAGGATCCTGCAGAAACGAACAAGTCGTATCGACGATTGGTCTCTTACAAGTTTGATAGCTATTTTTTGTTAGCCTTTTGAATTGTGACTCAACTTTGTAATTAATATCACATCTTAATTATGCATTGTATTTCAGAAAAAGTTTGCCGACTGTACTTTACAATATAGCACAAAAAAATTCGGTTTGGTCGAGTTTCTCGAGTCTTCCAAGATAAATTATGATCCCAACTCTGTAACAAAGATAAATTAATGAATATATCACAAAATCAATCACTCACGTTCACCAGCCTCCTTCCTTCTGAAAAAGGCCGCGTCTAGTTTCAAATTTTGGCTAGATTTGGGCAATCACCAATGGACTGTAGTTCGACTCATTGTTAAATAACGAAAAATCTTTGTCAATAGATTTTTTTCTTGATTAACTGCAACTTTCAGAGGACTAAGTTTTTAGCGGAAGAACCACAAAGCTGCATGCTCCATGTTTGTTTCTTCATCTTTTGAGAATATCGCTGACCGTCAGCAGTTCAGTAGTATCGTACTACCGTTTTTATGAAAGTTTTTTTGATATATTAAGATTTTGGGAAGCTAAACAAATCGACATTCATGAATGATTTCGGCAAAGAAAGTGAGGCTAGATGTTCAGAGTAAAAAATAGAATACGTAGACGAAATAAATAATAGGAGAACTCTTGAACATTAATATCACTCACGATGAAACGTTCCCAACTGACAAATCGCTTTCGGGCCGAAACCTAGTGGACTATAGGTAGTCGACCATGCTGATTTCGAGTATCAACATGAGACGTGCCGATAGGCCTTCAGAAACTGGTTTTCTACAAAACCAGTTTTCCAGAAACAAGTGAATTTCGTTGGTTTTTGCATTCGATTTGAAACCTTAAAAACCGCATACTCAGCTCAACGAGTTGCGTCGAGCCATGTATACATATCGCAAAAATAAATTTTGCTCAACTTTTGAATTTCCGGAACCTTAAATCTAAATTTAAAGCATTTGTTGCCGATACAAAGTCATCAAAACTGTGATAGATTGAAGTATGTGTGCAACGAGCTTCGAGTATACCCAAAAGCTCGAACGGAGCTGCCCGAAAATTAAAGTCTGTTTTTTTCTGATGGCTGTTATTCTCAGACCTCCACATTAAAGAGGCTCCCACACAAGAAACAGGTTTTTTCATCGACTTTATTCTTCTTGAAAAGTACGAGAAAAGTCGAAACCAGACTCTACTAACGAGGGAACCTCCCGAGATGCCTCCGTCCGATCTCAATGACTTGTGCATGGATCGATAGATCTCAGCGAGATAGTAAATGCCCTAAAAAGATTCGGATTCGGGAGGAATCTCATTTTAATCGGGAATGTGCGGATCACAATCATGTTTCATTAAAAAATGTTTTGGTTAGTTTTTAGACTTTCTTCTTAGAGAAAACATTGAGGGAAATCGGTCTGTGGGAAAGATGAACACCAACTTCACATAGTGTACCTGATCGATTTTTTTAGCTAGAACTCTAATTTCAAAAAACTCCATTGCATTTTTTATTCCGGTGCCATAGTTTTATAGGACGAAACATTCTGCATGGAACTAAGCAGTCCAATGTAGCCAGCCGTCAGGGTTTGGGACGAGGACGTTTTTGCGAGGATCTTCTATCTAAGTTATGTCAAGTTAGGAGTCTTGAAACAAACGAAAATATAGGTAACCGACTATGCTGAGCTTCGCAACATTTGAACTAGCGGATAAATCTTGAGTTTAGCCGAATTCAGGCGAAATTCGTGAGCGGAAAAGTTTAGTAGAATTCGAATAGAATGCATATGTCGTCTTATAAATTTCATGAGCTGATGAATAAAAAGAATGACATGCTCTGTCTCGGATAAGATAAAATTAAAATCCTATATCTTTCTGTTTTAAAATTTTTGAAAGATGCAGAACATTTTTGCCGGATCCAATGCTATGTGACCCTTCTTTTCACACCAAAGTAGAACTGTACCCCGAGCAGATTCTTGATTACTCCTGAAACAAGAGATAAAACGTTTCCTTTTCGATAAGATAAATTCTTTTCTAACTTTACAACACTTTTGCTTATTTCTTTCTCTTCTCTCTTTTTCTTTGTTTTGTTTTTTCTTGTTGTTATTATTGTCCCATTTGTTCAACTTCAACCAACATGTAATGAGCCAGCTCAATTTGTTAGAAAATAAAAACTTTAGATTAATCTAACAAGGCAACCGCCCTAAGTGTTCCCGAGCTTTTTCATCGAAACACACATAGGCGTAGGTTATTACTGATGTTGATTTCGAATATCATAGTTGAAGCGGTATACGGACCCATGGAGATTCGGTTTTGTAGAAAACCAGTCTTTCAGAAACTTTAAAACGTAACCAAAACCTTGTATAACTTTGCAAAGAAAAGTCGTATAGAACTAGGAGATGTCTTATTTTAATCAGAAATTTACGGGCTATAATTATGTCACATTAAGAAAGGTTTTGGTTTTCCGTCAGAGTTTCTGAAGGACTGGTTTTCTAGAAAACCGGAATTACCATGGTCCCGTATGCCGCCCCGATCACAAATATTCAAAATCAGCATCAACGATAACCTATGCCTATGTGTGTTTCGCCAAAAAAGCTCGGGAACACTTGAGACAGTTTCCTCCTATGTTAATTTAAGGCTCCTCTCAATTATTTCTCTTCTATTCTAAGTCCTAAAAGTCTTAAATGCAAGAGAAACTCTGCGGTACGACATAGTAGAGCCTGATTTTTGATTTTCAAAAAGGTGCTCTGTTAAACTGACCTGAAATTTTATCGTTCGCTTGGTTTTTTTGCTTGGAATCGTAAATTCCTTTCTTACGGCTCATTAAAAAAATGACTTTTAGATTGCTTGGATTGATCTAGCTCGGACGTTTTTCGATTACAGTGCTCTACCTAAAACTACACTGTTCTAGTTTACATCAATTAGGTTGCTTTAATCAAAAAATCAACCTACATCAGTTTGAACGGATCCAGTTTCAGATTATGGTGGGGCGTTGAAATTGATGGCGAGGTCCGAAAATGCTCTATCCCAAGAAAAGTCTATTTCTCATTCACATAAATATGTCTCTGAGTCTTATTATGAAATTTATTTCATTAGGTAACATTATTGATACCACTACTACTATCATCATCATCATTCTGATCTTTTAAGATAATTTGTGTGTCAAAACAGAATAGATTTTGCAATTAGCCTTTTAGGTAAAAGAAAAGAAAAGTGAAAACTTCCGTTACTTAAAAGTATTGAAAATCAACATCAATCAGTAAGTTTTTGCCATGAACGGGTTTTCATACGTTTCCTTTTATGTTAAGGTCCCGTCAGAAAGTGAGTCAGAAATGTTGATTTTTCAAGAAAAGGTCCATATTGACGTAAGCACATGATTGACGAGCCCAAGGTGCCTATTTTTAGAATCCATACCATTTGTGCCAAAATCAAACATTTCTGGAGACTTTGGAATAATTCTGAAATTTTGGAACTTTCTGAAATTCGCGTATTCAGTGAAACGTTGAAATCCCAAAGGATTCTAGTGGCTCCAGTTCGTAGAATAAACATTTGTGGTTAAAATGAGACGTCCCCCAGCACCGAGCGATATTTTGATTAAACGTTATGACAGTTTTATTATCACACATGACGCAAGTGTATACCTTTTTGGGGAGTATCACTCCACATTCTAGTCATAAAAGTGTGACCTTTCGTAACTAACGGCGCAACACACCTACAACTATCGCTACACTGCATCGCGAACTTTTGTCATACTAAGAACATAACGGCAAATATCGCGTCATAACGTGTGACGAAAGTTCATGTGCATTACAACGCTTTATTTTGCTGTTTTCTCACGTTTATATAGTATTCCTATTGACTGTAAAAGAACTTCTTGCATTTGGACTACTCCAATCTAGATTGCTACAGTGTGCAATACTTCAGACCGAGCTACTCCCACGCACAATAGACGTTTGATTTTGATACTTTGACTTAAGAAAAAGACTTCAAAAGGATTTTTTACGCGTTTCGCTAAGAAAATGCGAAGTTTGTAAAGGAAAAAGCACGAAGTTATTGCTCCAGTTTGCACTACTGCACTTTGGACTAATGAACTTTGCACCACACCCTTAAGTTCATCGGAGCCGTTTCACGCAACGTAGGATGGAAGGGCTGTGCCACCTGTCCAGAAGCCAAACACTGTCGTCACAAAAGGGGTTAACTTTCGTAACTACCATTTAAACAGATAAACTTTCGTCACATGCCGAAAGAGCTTTTGTTACTGGAAACAGAACTTTCGTCACGTGACCGACTCAGGTCATGCGAGAACCACGTGAAAGGGTCTGGTGACGAAAGTGCCATGAAACAACACTACTATATCTCAAAAGCGACTTTTTCTTATTTGATAAACACTATTGAAAAGATTTCTCCGTCAAATTAAGTGCTACAGAGCTCGGGTTGATCTTAAATTGAAGCTAAGACATATGGGAATAGCGTAAAAGAGCCTGATTTTTGATTTAGACCGTCATTCTTTTACATTGTTGAAAGCTATACACCGGTTGGTGGACTTTTAGGGTGAAATCCTTGGAAAAATAAAACACAGAAAAAATTCAAAAATAAAGTATTTTGTTCTAAGCTGTTTTTTAATGATGATGTAACTGAATAAACAACAACAAAAAAATATAATAGATAACAGTAAACGAAGTGAGGCACCAGTTAAGGCATAAAGTACCAGTGAATCTTTTTGATCCATGTCATACACTGAGAATAAATATCGTAAATGGCATATGCAGAAATGGGCCCATGACAGAGTATAACATATATAAAGCAAACCTAGTGAAGTTCGAGGCAAAGAACGCACTGCGATTAAATTTTTTTATGTTTATTACAAAATTCAATAACTCGATGACATGCATCTTCTAACATTTCGGTTGGTACTGTAGTTACAATCCGAATATAATTCGGTGCATTAAAGACCTATGTGTAAACAAGAGAGAAAAAATAACGGACTAGCAAATTGGAGATTGTTATACGGGGGACTCGTAATAAACTACTACATACCGTTCCTGGTAAACACGTGACAGATTGCTCATCGAGTAACTTTTGAAAGAAATCTGTCTCATTACCAATATCATTAAATGCATCAAAATCCAACTGAATCTGCAAATAAAAAACGATTTTAGCTGTATAAATACGAACACTCAGGCTAAAATGAACGATCCGTTAACAGCCTCTAAATGGCATTTTAACGGTCATCGTAAAAACGATACTTTAATAGCCAGCGTAAATAAGCTATTTGTATATCGTTAATTTACGGTATAAAAACGTCTTAAGAAGGTTGCGAAACGGCATAAGGATGGACCATACTACGGTGTAAGTAACGGCTTATCAACGGCATAGAAGCGGTCCGTTTACGGACTTAACAGACCGTTAGCACGTCTTTAACGACACCGTTTTCAACGGTCTGGTCAGAGATGTTACGACTGCGCAGAGTGGAATTATTAGGGGTAGCCTCGCCATGTCAGCATCGGAATTGTCAACAACAAAAACAAATTACTATGTGATCAAGCACACTTTAGCAGCAAAAATTATTCAAAGAATAACCTGTACACACACGACAGGAATAACATACCATCATGTAAACAGCTCCTTGCGGCATAACTGGTGTTAATCCAGGAATAGAACCTAGCATATCGTAGACTAGATCAGCATTTTGCTAAAAAATGAAAATAATTATAAGTCATTTTAAGTTTTAGGTATAAAAATCAATAAAATTGTCAGAATTACACCTACTTTAACAAGATCAATCATATCGTCTAAATAGGCTTTATGCTTCAGAGATAATATAGATGGTAATGCAGCTTGCGGAATTGAGCTTGGTCCCATGATACGGCTGCTAATTGAAAGTAGTCCAGGGCGAATATATTCTTAGAAGAGAACAGAAAGTGGTAAAGTTGCAAAAAATTTCAGTCAAAAGAGATACTTACTTTGAAATGCATTGTGACGATCATGTATAACGATCCAACCTAATCGCCTAAAATTATCAGAAAAAATACAAACGTGAGTGTACATTCGCTTTTTCCAAAACTACCTAAATATATCTATGATTCTACAAAAGCGGCATTCTCTAGTGTACGGTATTCTTACCATCCTGGACAACAATATAATTTTGAGATACCTCCACAATGTATAATCGGTACATTTTCAGAGAGTGCTGACATATAATGAAAATCATTACCGGGAAATACCTTGAAAGAAGATAGATGTTTGGCGGCTACATTTTCACTCTAACATGCATTACATTACATACCATTTGTGCATAGATTTCATCAGCTATAATTGGCAAACGATACTTTTCACATAGAGAAATAATATCTTTCAGATGTTGCCGTGTGTAAACTGAAGCACACGGGTTTGATGGATTATTAATCATTACAGCTCGTGTACGTTTATCAATTACAGATTCAAAATGCTTTAAATCAACTTCCCACTGTTTATCAGGCTATAATAAATTAAGTTTTATTCAAGGAGAATGCTTAGATCACAATCACCAAAGTGTGTATGTGAGATAGAGAAAAGTGAAGTTGAGCGAAATAAACGTTCTTACTATTAAATTGTAGTAATGTTTATTAATTCCAAAAGAATTGCATATTGTGTCGTACTGAGAATAACCTGGTCTCGGTAATAAAATATTGTCACCAGTATCTAACAAACAATTAATTGCCATTTCTAAAGCATGTGTGCAACCGGATGCTAAAATTACATCCTGTACAAAAGAAGACAGAGAGTAGAAAATGCAGATCACAAACGACGTTTTTCTTACTTCCATTTTGCACGGTGAACCATCTTTTGTTAAATATTCAGCTACGGCAGTTCTAGCTGCTACTGTTCCTTTAAAAACGAAAAAGAATTTAAATTGCAGTATCTCTCTTAAATGAAATACCGTAAGTTACAAACTAACTAACCAAATGTGGGAGTATAACTATGTGTTGATGGATGCTTCAGTGTTTCAGCTATTGCATTGATGGCATCAGGTGGTGGCAGGAGATTACCATAACGTGTTGGATCACCTGTTTTAAAGAAGAAAATGTTTTGTCAGGTTATTGCATAATTTAGTACGCTGTCTATCAGAGCTCCGTATGAACTGGACTGAAAATTTTTTGAGTTCATGGACTCGGACTGGACTGGACTCAAACTTTCAAGAACGTGGACTGGTCTGGACTAGAAAAACATTTTGCATTCACTTGAATCGAGGAAAAACAGATTGTTTTTCTATAGTGGACTGGATTGGACTACTTCTTTAGAGTCCATGAACCGAAAAAACTGTTTTTCATGGACTCGGACTGGACCGAACTAGAGTTTTTCAGTCCATGGACTGGACTGGACTCAGAATTTTGAGTTCATACGGAGCTCTGCTGTCTACACCAACACTGACCACTGGAAAGATGAATCATTTTCTTTGATGAATTTGAAGATAATGTCATACGATCAACAATCCATCGAAGAGCATTTGTTGTATTATGAGCTGCGTTTGATCCGTAAACTGATAGTGGCAATTCTTCCTTCTTAACATGGCTACCATTAACAACGTCTTTGTGACAAGAAGACATAGTTTGCAAGAAACTAAAAAGTAGAATTCCAGCCCAATTATGTAGACTTTGACTATTTATCAATGCTATGAAAATAAAGTATGTTAGATGAATACTACACTCAGTGTACACGGGAGTGAATAAAGGTATTGATAAATAAAGATCGTACACGTCTTCTGAAATTCGTACTATCGTTATCGATTGTAAGCAATAAACAAATCGACATAACTGTAGATGAGTGAATATTTTATAACAGACCAGCGCCTTGTTAAACTACCGTTTTTTCTGAAACTGTGTCGCTTTCTCTACAGATTTTTTATCAAGTTGTACTGCTACGTATTTGTCGAAAAAGTAATATACAGACTCGGTCTATTAAAGTTCAAGAACTCGCCTGCAAGATCGCGATTCAGGTCGTTACAGACAGTGCAATGGTGATAGTGAGGTTACTTACTTATTGTTTTGATGACTTTTTCTCAAACTAAAATATTTTTTTATCTAAGCAGGTATTTTTATAGTGAAAAGGAGAGAACGAGAGCATAAAAAAAATGTACCTTAAAATACACACCCAGAAGAGAAAAAGGCGTCAACTTAATAAGAATAATAAAAAACAACGGTCACTACAATTGATAGTTCGTTGACTAATACATATTGTGATCTAAGGATTCAAACATGATTATCAGTACATTGAAATAATGTCACAAAAAAGAAAGAAAGAAAGAATGACGATAAATAAAAATTCTGCTCATCTACTATGGGTGTGGTAGTTTTGAAAAAAGCAAAATAATCTCAAGCAACGATAAATATTTTTTCAAAGAAAAATTAATAATCTGTTTTTTTTATTTGACATAGATCACTCATTTCTTACGAAGATACGTCGAGTACATCTATACTGACATTCATCAAAAAACACAAATGTTAATCTTAAAAAAATGAGGATTCGCTACAGCAGAATATGAAGGAAATTACACCCATAGTAAATAGATAAAATATTATTGTGTAAAAAAAGATTACTTTCTTCTAATACTTAACACCACCTTTAAACAACGAAACAATATTTAGTTCTTTATGTTTTGAAACTACAAACTCCTCTCGATCTGTAAATTTAATAATAAAATTTTGGCACAATATGACACTTGCAGTATAACTACTTGTTCACAGACCAGCAAATAGAGCGAGAGGTACTTTTTCCTAAGAAATCTATCGGGAGCTTCACTATATTTAGGCTGTATGACATGCAGAAATAATGAAACTCTGAAAACGAGTACATTTCTGCCATTTTTTAATCTGAAGAAAAAAAAGTGTGCTGTTGAGCAGACCTTCTCCTAACACTGTCTGCTATGAATTTTCTTCTTTAGAAAATGCATCTTCCGAAGTATTGGAATTACGATATACTTTTCTGGTGGATAAGTCCAATATTAAAATTAGGTTATAAACGTCAATTAGAAGAAGGTAACTTATTCGAATTATCGCCGGATGATGAATCACAACTGTTATTAAATCGAATTGAAACAGAATGGAATGAGAAGAACGTTCAACGACGAAAAGATAAGAAAAGGAGGATAAGAATATGGTCTGTTATCTTAAGTACATTTTGGAAAGAATTTTTACTAAGTGGTTTAATTTTAATTCCATTTCTGTTAGTACGTATAGCACAGCCTTTACTTTTAAAAGAAATTATTCTTATAATATCGTCATCAAATTCCAACCAATTGTTATCACCAGTACGTGATGGTTACTTGTACGCAGTTGGTCTAAGTTTAGCAATACTATGCCAAATATTTTTACATCAACAATACTTTTTTCGTACAACTCGTCTTGGTATGCAACTACGTAATGCCTTATCTGCATTAATCTATAAACGTATGTTAAAATTGAAGCAAAATTCATTGCAGAAGACAACAACGGGTGAAATTGTTAATTTAATATCAAATGATATCGGTAAATTTGAACAATGTTGTGCATATTTTCATTTTCTATGGGAAGTACCGTTGGAAGCTATAGTATTTTTTATATTAATTTATCTACAAATTGGCTTGTTTCCAACACTCTTTGGTTATGCTATCATCTTATTCTTAGTTTTATTACAAATATTATTTAGTAAAATGTTTGCAAAATATTGTCGTCAAACTGCAACATGGACTGATAAACGTGTGAAATTGATAAATGAAATTCTCATGGGTTGTGAAATTATTAAAATGTATTCATGGGAAAAATCATTGGAAAATGTTGTCTGTAATGAATTACGTCAAAGAGAAACGAAATCTATAGAGCGTGCTAATCGTCTACGTGCAGTTAATATGGGTTTATATTTTTCATATTTATCATTTACTGCTCTTGCTACGTTTGGCGGTGGTCTCTGGCTAATGAATCGTCCTCTTTTACCAACGACATTGTTTACAACGTTAGCATTTTTCGCTATACTACGTTTTCCTTTAACATCGTTTTTCCCTACAACGATTGAAAAATTTAGTCAAACATTAATTGCGACAAGACGCATTGATACATTTATGAACCTGAATGACGATACAGAAGAAAAGGAAAAGAATACGAAAGAGACAAATGCTGAAACAGGAACAATTTTAATTGAAAAAGCTTCATTTGCATGGGACAATGTCTCTGCTCCTCAACTTCGGGATATTAATTTAAACATAAACTCTGGCGCACTCGTCGGTATTCTAGGTACAACCGCTAGTGGTAAATCGTCATTATTGTCAGCTATCTTAGATGAAATGATCATGTCAAAGTCTAGTGATAGTAAAAAACTGGTCAGTGGTCAGTTTGCCTATGTATCACAAAGTGCTTGGATCTTCCCTGGCACAATCCGTGAGAATATTTTATTTGGAAAAGTATTAGATGAATTAAAATATAGACAAGTTATTCTAGCAACGTGTTTAAAAGACGATTTAAAACAGTTTGAACCGGCTGGTGATTTAACTGTCATCGGTGATAAAGGTGTGAATTTAAGGTTAGTAATTATCTATTAAATGACTGTTAATGAGCACGTGCCACATATCTCTTTTAAGTGGTGGACAAAAGGCAAGAGTTAATTTAGCACGTGCACTCTATTGTTTAAATGATGCAAATATTTTCCTATTTGATGATCCTCTGGCTGCGGTTGATAGTAAAGTTGCAGAAAAAATCTTTACAAAATGTATTAGTAACAACGGGCTCTTAAAAAATAAGACACGTCTTCTTGTTACACATCAAATACAATTTTTACCACAAACTGATTACTGTCTTGTACTAGATAATGGTAAAATAAAGAAGCAATGCCATTTCAATGAGCTATTAGAAACGGACATTGACATTAAACAACTTTATGAACAACAACATACGACTGAGGACAATAAAAATAATAGGAAACAACGTGGCAGAGCGATGTCAATAACTAGTGTAACGGATACTGATGACATAAGAACAGATAGAAGTATGACGGCGACGAGTGTAACTAGTGCGGGAATGTTTGAAATGTCTACCATTGAAGATGAAAATAGTATTGTTAAAACTGAACAATCATCAGCATCTAGCGGCCGTGTACAAGGTAAAGTCTGGCTGAAACTGTTTACTTTAGGTTACGGATGGTTGGGTTTTATAGTATTTATTTTTCTGATGATTGCGGGTGAAGTTTTATTTGATGTTACAAATCGTTGGTTAAGTTTATGGTCTGCAAAATCATTTGAAAAGCAACGTGAAGTATACAATGCTGCAGTGTATTTAGGATTGAGCTTAGCTACATTATTAATATCACTAGTTCGTTCCATTTTCTTTTTTCAATTATTGCTGAATAGTTCAACGGTACTACATAATCAAATGTTTAAAGGTGTATTGTATAGTTCCCTACGGTTTTATGAATCAAACCCAATTGGTCGTGTATTGAATCGTTTCAGTAAAGATCAGCAAACAGTTGATGAATTATTACCAATGACTTTCTATGAATCATTACAATCTTTGACAATGACAATTGGCAGTCTAGTTATTATTGGTATTGCTAATCCATGGGTATTATTTATTCTACTGTTAATTATACCGGTAATTCTATGGTTACGTCACTATTCCGTACGTACATCAACGGAAATTAAACGTCTTGATAGTATGACGCGTAGTCCAATCTATTCGCTCTTTTCATCATCTTTAAGTGGCATACCGATTATACGTTCATATAAAGTTGAATACTATTTAATCGATCAATTTTTGAAAAATTTAGATCGGAACACACGTACATCAGTTATATTTCTAGGTGCAACACGTTGGTTCGGATTGAGAATTGATTCAATGACATGTTTATTAACACTTTTAACAGCAATATTATCCGTCGGATTACGTACAAAATTAAATCCAGCATCAGTTGCATTAGCACTTACCTATTGTATAAATCTTACCGGTGTGTTCCAGTGGGCTGTCCGTCAGTCGGCTGAAACCGAAAACTATATGACAAGTACAGAACGTGTCTATGAATACTCACAACTTCCATCAGAACCTGATCTACTTCACACCACCAATGCATTATCGGTTGTCGGCAGTACCACAAGTAGCTGGCCACAAAGGGGTGAAATTGAATTTCAGAATTATAAATTACGTTATCGTCCAGAACTGGATTTTGTTCTCAAAGGTTTAAGTGTTAAAATCGATTCAAACGAAAGAATTGGTATTTGTGGCCGTACAGGTGCCGGGAAATCCTCAATATTTCAAGCCATATTTCGTCTCACAGATAAAACAACATGTACCGATGGACAATTATTAATTGATGGTATAGATATCAATACATTGAGTTTAAATCAATTACGTTCAGCACTGAATGTTATACCACAAGTACCCGTACTATTTAGTAATACGTTGAGATATAATTTAGATCCATTCAACACGTATACAGATGAACAGTTGTGGCAAGCACTAGAAGATGTGCAATTAAAAGAGACCGTAATAAATTTAAGCGGAAAATTAGAAACACAAGTTGCTGAGTATGGACAAAATTTTAGTAAGTGTTTGAACATTTAAAAGAAAAAAGCTTTTCTCTTTCTGTGTCACGAGTGAACCGTACCAAGTGGTAAATCGCTTTCGCTGTGAAACGCGCATTTTTACAGATTATCGATGATCCTGATTCCGAATATGAACTTGGCGTTCGTCCTTGGTGAGGTTTTTAAGGGTTTTCCAGACAACCAATCTGCAGAAGTCTAGACAATTTCTGAGTGAACCATCTTTTGAAGCATCAGAAACTGACTGTATTCTAAAAATTTCAGCCTTCCAGCACGAGGATTTGACGAGTTAAGAACCTTTTCGTGAGGCTTTGCAAACCGAGACTAAGAACAGATTTTAGATTACGAAAGGCTCGAGTTGGAAATGTAAAAACTTGGGTATTCAGTTAGTTTTTAACGATCGACAAAACGATTGACTCGGAAATTATTCATCGTATGAAAAAGTGTGGCTTTCTAGAGACTGGTTCTCTAGAAAACTCCGAAGAAATTCACTAAAAAGACAAAAAAAGTTCATAGTCGGGATCAGCTCAATCATCGATAACCTATAGATATGTGTGTTTCACGCTGAAAGCAGTTTATCACTTGGGACGGTTCCCTCGTTAACGCAAACTTGAGGCCTCACTAACGTCTTCAACCCTATATGACTTCCAAGTTTCAGTTAAAAATTCGAAGGTCCCGATTGTCTATCTCGTGTCTTAGATAAGCTTCGTTTCTCTTCGCTTTCAGGTGTTGGTGAATGTCAGCTGATATGTATTGCTCGTGCTATATTAAAATCACAAAGTAGTAAAATCTTATTAATTGATGAAGCAACGGCCAATGTCGATATTCGTACAGATCAATTAATACAACGTATTATACGTGAAAAATTTAAAAATCAAACAGTTCTGACAATTGCACATCGTCTACATACAATAGCTGATAATGATAAGATATTATTGTTAGATAACGGCAAAGTTTTAAATTATGACGCGCCCAAGAATTTATTATTTTTAAAACAAACACAGCACCAGTCATCACTACCAACAGAACAGAATAGTGAAACTTACAATACATATCTTTAGAAACTATTACCACAACCGCTAACTTAATAATGAATTTGTTGTATAGCAAAAAATAAATAAAACTGACACTTTCTCAGATTTTTAGACATAGTGTTGCGGACAAGACACGAGTTCTGGCTCGATAATGAGATTCATTTTCTCCTCTTTGTTCAAATATATTCTTACAAAGTGATATCTCTGCGGGCATTCGAATAGCATTTACGGTTTTCTTCGGCAGAAAGAAAACGGAAAAAATAATGTCGAATTTTCCACTCAGGGTTTTTCTGTGTAAAATCAAAGCATGTTAATTCATTCCAATTTTTCGTGGATACTCAAACTCGTTATTTCGTCCATTTTGTTCTTCAATAAGTATAAACGCCTTAGTTATCATATCGCGAACTTTTTCGCACGCATCAGGCACTTCGAAAAAAGCATTATTCCAGATCACTATGAATAGTTTTCATCCTCAAGCAAATAACTACTGTATGATCGGTGCAGAGAAGCAAAAACCATTTAAAATATGGGAAAGCTTTGGAGAATAGTTGGAAAGAAAAGAAGCATAGTACCGGATAAGAATATTAGACCTTTGTCACTCATGAACGTGACAGGTAGGTAGGGATATTAAATTCTATATGATTATACCGTATGAATGTAAAGTGCTGCTTATTAGTGGTTCTTTACATGTCAAGATTTGGCTCAACAAAAGCTTTTAACATGAAAGAAGCTCTTGAAAATATAGTGTTTTTTTAAGGTGGTTAAGACACAGATTTCAACGTGTTTTACCCGGTTTTCTCTTAGGGAACATAATGCAATCAAAGTGGATCATTCAGCTCAGTCTCGCGTCGAGGTTGAGCTTAAAATGAGTACACGGCAGTTTCATTTGTGAAGATAGTCTGGCTTTCGCTAATTCCTCTCTACTTCTAGCAAAATTATCTATGGATATACATTCTCTGGAAGTCTAAACATGAATGGTTTCTTTACATACGGCAAACATTACTGTACCTGTATCGGGTACACAGCCTGCATTTTTGGCTAGACATGCGAGCATATAACTTTAAAGCAGAGTATGTTGAACCGTAATTCCGAAATACATGGGAGAAGTAAGAAAAGTCTGAGATTGAAACTGTTTTAGAAATGACTATTAAAAGGACAAGTCTGGATAAGTGGATTTTTCATTCCAAACAATTTTCGAGAAAAAAGTACATGGCTGTAATCAGCGTTGAAAACAGAACAAAATGGTCGGTTCAGTTTTCCAAAAAATGTAAGGGCTGAGGTGGACATCAGGAACATCGAAAAAAATTTTCCCTCAGAAATGGATGGAAAATACATCACTAGAATTCGAACTCAACGCTGATTTCAAATATATTCTTGATTTTACTTAAAAGCGTCAAGGAAAATGGAAACTGAATGATTTTAGAAAAGAGGTATTTTTGACCTCTTTCAGTTTTGAACCATAAGCTGGCGTTCAAGTGAGGTCTGGAATCTCGAAAAACACTCACGAGTGCGTAGAGTTGTTCACTCTATCCACACCATCTCAAATGACTTTAGAATAATTACTTTTGTATCCATTTTTGGCTAAAAACTGAAAAAACCACCAAATTAGACTAATCCATCATTTCATCACTATTTTTAAGCCATAGCCAAGTCTCCATCAATTGAGAGAGACAGACTGGTCGATTCAACTTTTGACGCTGATCTCGAATCTGACCTCAAAAAATAAAAGAGGTCGCGCACTCCTGAAGAGCCGGTTTCTGGAAAACCATTTTTTCAAGTACTCTAAAAAGTAATCGAAACCTTTACTTTAATAAAGTGCGATTGTGGCTCGCAAATTTCTGCTTAACACGAGACATCTCCCACCTCTACACGACCTCTTTTTGCAAAAGTTATAAAATTTATGAGAAAAGCCCTAAATGTTCATTGTCAGCTCAAAGCTACAGAAATAAGAAGACATTAATTAACGGCTTTTCTTGCAAACTCTACAACTTTGCAAAAAAAGGTCGTGTAGAGGTGGGACAAGTCTCGTTTTAAGCAGAAATTTGGTTTTCAGCTGTTTTCCGGTTTTCTCGAGCCACAATCGTTAGAAACCCAATCAAAAACAGCATATTCAGAATCAGCGTAAAAAGGCTGCATCGACTGATGTACAATAAGACAGGTTTTGAACCCAAAAATGACAGATTTTACAAAATCCTGCGGTTGAAGACATTGTTGACGAAGTTTTCTACTACAGATTCGCGCATCAGTTGTTACATCGCGCTCCAGCCTATAAAAAAATTTCACACAAGACTTTCGAGTGTGCTCATTCCAATAGTCAAATAGGCTTTCAAAGTCCAAAAACGGCTGTTAAGAGGTTTTCCAAAGATCAGGACTTTGAGAAACCTCTTAAAAATCGCTTTGGGGCTTGGAAAGCAGTGCCACTGGAATGAGTACACTCGAAAACCTATATGAAAAACTTTTGTAGACCTGTAAGTAAAACGAACCTTTCCTCTCTCATTCAGAAGCACTTTGAATCCATACATGTCAGGATTTTCTTTTGCTTGTTCCGTAGTTGATGTGATGCCATTGATGTAAGCCAACGCATTGTTACAGAACCTTAAATTCTGTTACGTTCAATTTATGTCGATTTCTTACTGTATAATTTAAATATGGATGAATATCGAGGAGAAAACGCATAACTACTAATTTGGTAATGTATACTCCTTTACGATCAGTTAGTATTCGACCATCAGCTCTATCATTTGCTTCATATATGACAATTGTATGGCCCGATTTCTCAAGTAGAACTGTGGCATACAAACCGGCACAGAAAACCTAATCCTATAAGGCGATCGATTATTCATGTCTTCATTTGAAGAATGTATAAAAAGTGTTTACTTCCAAAATACAATTGATGCTGATTTTAATATCATTTCATTATAAAACGTTCATTACAAATTATCCTGTTTGTTACCTATTCATTGAATGTTGTAAATTGACGCAAAAGCGGACAAAAATAAGTTTTTATGGGGCACAAAGTAACACAATGTTTGCAAGTCAATTCAAAATGAATTGTTTTTGAAAGATCAGGAGCTACAAAACGGCAAAGCCGATACGATGGCATCATTTTTAAAGATTTTGTAGATCTTCTTGAAAAATATAATACGTTGATGAATCTTGATATTTTATCATCTGACTTGAAACTTGAAAAAATCTGTTTATTTCCGAGAATGTGTTAGCTGGAAATGTATCAGTTGAGAAAGTTTTATCGATCGAAATATTATGGCGCAATGCTATTATTTGTTACAAATATCAAAAATCAGAAACCAAAGGTCTTTTAAAACGCGTTATCAACAATACATTAAGGCTGGCTTTCCATATGAAATTGTCGATGGTGACAATTTTTGTCTTCATTATGATTTTTTGCTTGAAGCTTTATCCTGTTTTAAAGGTCAAAAGTGTCAATTATCAGTATTATTGGATCACAGAATAGCGGGAAAAGCACATTACTTAATTATATGTTCGGAACACTATTTGGTGTACGTGATAGTAGATGTAAGTAGGGTATCTATGGTTCATTTGTTAATCAAACTCAAAAGATTTTGACTATATTATGTTAATTGACACCCCCCACTACGCATAATTATCCCTTCCCGTTGAAAAACCGATAGCGATGACCGCTTGTAACCGTGGAATATCACCAAATTTGAATTCATGTAAACCATACCAAAATTCTTGATCATAAACAGTCAATAGAGCCAAATCAACTTCGTGATTGATATGTAGGATACAAGCAAGATATTTTTTAACATCTCAATTTTCGGGATAAGTATATTCGTTGCATCCGATACGCCATGCACATTATCCAATATCCAACGTTTTCCACCATTGTTACGAATAACAAAACCAGGTGATGTACTGAATGTGGGAGATTTCATTTGCCATGGTACACTATAATTGGATCTAACATTTGTACAAAATATTTTTACAACACTTGTCAGTAACAGATCAAATGATTCTACAGTTTGTGTACATTGTTGTTCACTACATGTTGGTAATTTTTCTGTTTTTAACTATGATAAATGTCTATCGTTTAATGGTAATAAAATAGGCGATAATTCGTCCATATTGGTATGATGCAACTGAATTCGATCTGTTGCTTCTCTCCGGTACTTTACCGGATACGCGTGTGTGCATAGAGAAATGTCAACATTCTGTAGCAGAAAGAAAAAAGATCTATTTTACATCCTGCAGCTATTTTTTGCGTTTAATTCTTCTTTTATTTAAAAATGAGTCACTCAAAAGTACACAGTTTAGTATTGTAATATCTGTCTTTTGATCATATTTACAGTATCAACATGATGATGTATTTGCTTGGTTTTTTCCGTATCTTTTGAATGACTCATTTTTAAATATCAGAACAACTCAGCGGAAAATAGGTGCAGGTTTTTCTTTCTTCGAGGTATTGATCACGATGGACTTTTATTTTTACATTAGTTATGTGGTCAGATCGTTTTGTTCTCGTTGCCACCCCTACTGGTTTATATACTTAACGTAGATGTTTTCTTCCATCTCATCGTCTGACTTCACTCTCTTTTAATTCGAAGCCACAGAGATTTCTAAACTAGTGCACACAGTATCGTTACTTTGTAATCTGGAAATCCAAATACAACAACAAGTAAAAATGATCGTTGAATTCCAATCACAACTCTCGAATTAACTTTCATTTCAGTCGTCACAGTTACAGATGTGCAATCTGGCGGGTACACAAATCTCGGCTAGAAATTTTCCAGACTTTTAGCTAACAAGAAGAAAAATACCCTATAATCATGAACAAAAAAAGTTTATCATCATCCACAATACGGCTGGGACAATCATAACATTGTGACATTTTTGCCACACTTTCTTTCATTTTTCAGAGTGGATGAGAACTGGTTCTTGCACCAAGCTGACGCTACCTGCGACACTAATGTACGATAGAAATGACCAACTCAAGGACTTTTGTCGTTCATTTCTCATAAAAGACATGAAGAGAACAACGCTGTGACATTTTTGGCCATTTTTTATCAATCACTTACATAAACTGTCATTTTTCTGCGAATGTAAACATTTTTTTAAAAGAAGATCGGAACAACTTTGTAGAGGACATTTCAAGATAATCTTTTTCTGAAAAACAAAGTCTGAAAAAATTATTTATTCATGGATTTATTAACTAGTTAATAATATAAATAAATAATAATAATACAAGTAAGCTAATATTTATTAACTTTACCTACATAACGTTGCGACGCCACCTTTTTGTTTTCAATGGTGAAAGTATTGGAACAGGTCTAACTTGAACGAATATGAGCGGCATCCTTTGAGGAGGTCCCGGTCTGCCCAAAACTAGAATTTTAAAATGTATTTAATGCCTCTTTAAATTATCAAAAATTCTGAAAATTTCAAAAACGTTTACAGCAAAATAAGTGAGGAAAGGAATTCTAATTAAAAAAAGCTCAAACTTTTAAACTTGCATTGTCTGTTCGAAAACTCAACAACATCAGGCATGTTGTATGCATTTCAAAAAGATGCAACATCCACTGCAGTAACAGCAGGTAGAATAACATTAATTAATCAACGATTCTTGAAACTTGTTCTTATGTTCAGACAGTAAGGGGACACCTTCTATATCCTGATCGGGATATATATCCCGATTGGGATATAGCTATATCCCGATCAGGATATAGAAAAAAAGTAGTATCCCGATCGGGATATAAAACACGAAATTTCGTCGTAAAAACGATTAAGGGGAAAATGACGACATTTTGGGGTAAAATTGACTT